TGCCTCAGCCTCCTGAGTGCTGGGATTATAGGCATGTGCCACCGTGCTAGGCAATAAAATTAATTTTAAAAAAGATAGAAGGAAAAAAATTATAGATCAGTATCCCCTTGATGAACATAGATTCAAAAGTCCTCAGCAAAATATTCACAAAACAAATTCAATACTGCATTAAAACATCATTTATCATGATCAGATAGGATTCAACCCAGGTATGCCTGGATGCTTCAAAAAATATGCAAATCTATAAATATGAGAAACTCAGGGTTTTTTTTGGAACTGGGAATTGAACTCAGGACCTTGTGCTTGCCAGGTAGGCGCCTGTGCCGCTGAGCTATATCCCCAGCCCTTAAATATGGGAAACTATATTAACAGAACCAAAGACCAAAACTATATGATGGTTTCAATAGATGCAGAAAAAAGCACTTGAGTACTAAACTACAATCAAAATGAATCAAAGATCTAAATGTTAAAACAGAAACAATCTGTTGGAAGATAAAACTGGTAAAACTATTAACAACATGGGCATAGGCAAGAGTTTTCTGAATAGAACCCCAATTGCACCAGAAGTAACATTAAGAATCAACAAAAGGGATCATATCAAATTAAAAAGCTTCTGCACAGCAGAGGGAAGAATCAACAGAATGAAGAGACAACCTATGGAATGAGAAACAGTTTTTTTACAGCTATTGCTCAGACATAGGAATATCTAGAATATACAAAGAACTCAAAAACTTAGATCATCCAAATAAAAGACAATAACAGTGAGCAACTGAAATGAATAGACACTTCTCAGAAGTACAAATGGCCAATAAATACAAGAAAAAATGTTCAACATCTTTGGTCATTAAAGAAATGCAAATTAAAACAACCCTGAGATTCTACCTCATATAATTAAGGAATCAAATAATAACAAGTGCTGCCAAGGCTGAGGGGAAAAAGGAACCCTTCTACATTGTTAGAGGAAATGTAAACTAGTACAACCGTCTGGAAATTCCTCGGGGGGGCGGGGGAACAATAGAAATTCCTTTTGACTCAGCTGTTCCCTAAGTATCTTCTTGAAAGAGGTAAAGACATCATACTGCAATGATACATGCATACTCATGTTTATAGCAGCATAATTCATTATAGCTAAATTTTGTAAATAACATATACCCATCAATAGATGAGTGGATAAAGAAAATGTAGTATTCACACACAATGGAGTACTACTCTGCTATAAATAAACAAGGATAAATTTGAGCCATTTGTAGGAAAATGGATGTAACTGGGGACCATAATGTTAAGTAAATCAGATACACAAGCTTAAATATTATATGGTTTCTCTTATATGAAAAAGCAAAATACAAATACAAAGCAAAATAAAAGATAGGTAATAGGAAATAGGGAGACAGATCTTTTGCAAATGGGAAGTGGACCAAGAGAGGGAGGAAGCCTGGAGGGAAGGGAGGAAGGGGATGAAAAAAAGAATTAAGATGTGTTATGTATATGTAACAACCCCCCACAATGAACATAATTATTATGTACTGCAAACTACTGAGCAAGAAACAAAACAATCCTATTTACAAAGCTACAGAAAAATAAAATGCCCAGTAATGAGTTTAATCAGGAGGTGAAAGATCTTTACAATGAAAAATGCAAAATATTGATGAGAGAAAGAGGATCCCAATAAATGGAAAGATATTCAGTGTTCATAGACTTGCAGAAATAATACTGTGAAAATGTACATACTGCCTAAAGCAATCTATAGATTCAATATAATCCCTACAGTAATTCTTTACAGAAATAGAAAAAAACAAGCCCAAATTTATATGAGATTACAGAAGACTTCAAATAGCCAAAGTAATCTTAAGCAGAAAGAAAAATCCAGGCACAACCACACCACTTACTACAAAGTTACATTCATCAAAAAACATGCAGTTGGCATAAAAATAGACAGAAAATGAAGAGAACAGCATAAAAAGTCCACAAATAACTTCTTTATTTACAGCATTTACAGCAACTGACTTTTTATAAAGGGCCAAGAATATGGGGAATGTGGGGAAAGGACACTCTTCAATTAATGGCACACTGAACCAAACCTGTAGTCCCAGCTATCTGAGGCTGAGGCAAGAGGATTATCTGAGCCCAGAAAATTGAGATCAGCTTGAGCAACATAGGGAGGCCCTATCTCAGAGAAAAAAAGAGAACAAGACAAAGGAAGAGAGGGAGAGAAAAAGTGAAAAGGAGATGGGAGCCAAGAGAAAAGGAGGAAGGAAAGAGAGAGGGAGGGAGAGGACGAGAGAGGAAGGGAGAAGAGGAAAGGAATGGTATACTGGATATCCATATGAACTTGAGCCTTATCCTCTCACAAGTTACAAATATGTCAGGTTAAAGATTTAAATACAAGACACAAGACTATGAAACTACTAAGACATAAACAGAGGGGAAATGTTTTGTACACTGGTCTGTGGCAAGATTTTTTTTGCGCCAGGCATGGTGGAGCATGCCTGTAATCGCAGCACTTGGGAGGCTGAGGCAGGAGGATCATTGCAAGTTCGAGACCAGCCTGGGCTACAAAGTGAGCTCAAGGCCAGCCTGAACTGCATAGTGAGACCTTGTCTCAAAAAGCTAAAAAAAAAAAAAAAAAAAAAAAAAGTTTTTTTGTTAAGACCCTAAAAGCACAGGCAACAAAAGCAAAAATTAACAAATAGGATTATGTCAAGCTAAAAAGATTCTGGAAAATAAAATAAACAACAACACAGCTAAGAGACAACCTATAGAATAGGAGAAAAAATTTTGCAAACTATACATCTGACAAGTGGTTAACATCCAGAATTTATAAGGAATTCAACAGCAGAAACCCCAAATAATCCAGTTTAAAGATAGGCCCAATATCTGAACAGACATTTCTCAAAAGAAGGAATACAAGTGGCCAACAGATGTTTGAAAAATGCTCAGTATCACTAACCATCAGGGAAAATGGGTAAGGAAAGTGTAGTGCATATACACAATGGAATATTATTCAGTCACTGACATAGTTTTCTTAAACGTCTCCCAAGGGTCCATGTTTTGAAGGCTTGGTTCCCAATCTGTGGTGCTACTGGGAAGCAGTAGAACATTTCAGGGTGTACTCTAGAAGGGGCTAGTAGGATGTAGGTCCTTCTCTGGCTTTTGATTCTTGGCTGTCATTGCACAGCTTCTACTACTGCATGATCCCACTGTGATGTACTGCCTCACTACAAGCACAGAACCAACAGGCTGACCAACCATGGACTAAAACCTCCAAAACTGTGAGCTAAAACAAACCTATTCTCCTTGTAAGTTGATTCTCTCAGGCATTTTGTCTCCAGGATGGATGGAAAGCTAAATAACACAGTCATAAGGAAAGGATGAAATCTTGTCATTTTTGACAACATGAGTGGAATGGAACTGAAGGTCATTATTTTAAGTGCAATAAATTGAACACAGAAAGACCACATGATTTCATTCATATGTGGGATCTAAAAATGTTGGTATTATAGAAGTTTGGAGTAAAACAGTGGTTACCAGAGACTGGGCAGAATAGGAGAGAAGAGTAGGGAGGGGCTGGGAAATAGGGACAAGGTTACACTTAGATAGGAGTAAGTTGTGGTGGCACAGCAGTTAATAATAATGCAGTCTATATCTCAAAATAGTTGGAAGAGAGGATTCTGAATGTACTTATCATAAAGAAATGATAAAAGTTTAAAGTGATGACTATGCTAAATTACCCTGACTTATTACTCAAAGTACACATGAAGCAAAACATCACTTTATACCCCATAAACATGTATAAATATTATGTCATTCAAAAATAAAATAAAATTTAAAACCCAGAATATTGTTGGAGCAGAGAGGATCATATCACAATTTAAAAGGTTCAGAGACTTAATAATTCTAAACACTAATGCAATTAGTGTTTAATAAGCACTAATAAAATTACATCAAATTATGTAAAACAAAAATGCTTGGAACTAGAGGGGGAAAAATGGACAAATCTCCTACAGAGTAAGAGCTTTCCATATCTCTCTTAATTATGAATGGGCTGAACACACAAAAAAAATCAGTGAGACACAGAAAATCTGAGCAATTGTAACAACCATTGTTAATTCCTGTCATCTTGTTTTGAAATCTTGTATTGTTTTCATTGTTTTTGTGTTGTTTTGTTTTTGTCTTGGTTGTTATTTTATTGTTTTTTCTCTTTAAAATAGAAAAAGTAGAAAACATTTCTTTAAAAATCTGAGCAAAAAATAGCCTTAAAACACTTTTGATGAAAAGCAACCTAATATCATAGGAAGAGTACACAATTGGGAGGCAAAACACTTGTGTTTAAACAGAAGTTCTGTTGTTACTAGCTATGGGAACTTTAGCATGCTATTTACCCTTGCTAGGATTATTTCATTACTTACAAAAATAAATACCCACTATCTAGTATTATGCCAAGCATAAACAGGTGTTCAATAAACATCAAGAAATGAATGAAAAAGAATATGTAAGAACTATTTATAACATATGAGAGATAGTTAGTCCTAGACACTGTCCCCTCCTTTCACTAAGAAGTAGCAGGAAGGGATTGATTGCAAAGGCCACAAGGAAACTTTTAGGGAGCGAAAAAATGTTTAATATCATGACTGTGATGCTACTTACACAATTCTGTATCTTTGTCAGAACTCATCAAATTGTACACTTAAAATTGTTCCTTATATGTAACACTTCAATATAAAGCTAGCCAAAAAAACAGTAACAGATCTTTGGTGCTAAATTAAAAGATATTGTAGCAATACCTTTTCCTGCTTCCTTTTCTGGTTAAAATAATTGAATAGTTCATTTACTTTTAACATTTGTAACATGAAATATTCATACATATAATAGAATATAAAATATATAGACGATTTTAAACATCACTAATGCATCTGTTTTTCTGCATTATATATAACTGTTAATTGTACACTGGGAGAGCTATAAAAAGTATTTTTTCCTTTGCACTCTGAGAAGACACTCACCTCTTCCTTTGATGTTTCTGAGTCGAGCTGTAGTGTGAGATACATAATGATATGCGGAGTATTATGGATATTCTGCTGGTTGTCTTCAGCCTCTTCTTCCCATAGAAGTTTGACTAAATCATTTGTGTTCAAATTTGCCTTTTTCTTTCTTGGTTGGGTTTTTTCCTTTTTCACAGCATATGCATTTTCGAATGTCAGTTTCACCTTTAAAAATTACAGTATGTTGATTTTTCAATAAACAGAATCAGCTGCATTTTTCACAAAGAAGGCTCCATGCTTGCCCATACACTCAGGTGCATACATGATGGATAAATCATCCTAGAGTAAGGTTCCTGACGGCAAGGACTATGTGTTCTATTTATATATCTCCAGCTCCTTGAATAGTAAGTATCTCATGCACATTATTACAAGTATTTTTTGAGTAAGAATATATAATGATGTTAAGGCTTATATCTAGATGTCCCCCAAAGCCTCCTGCACTCATAGCTAGGACCTGTTGGAGCTGGCTGAAGCTAGGGATGTGATATTGGGCTTAAGTGTGTGTTGTACTCAGTCAGTCCACAGATTGGTTTAGCATAGTTCTGGGGGTAGATAGATAATGGAAAGGCCCACCCTGAGAGTGGGTAGCATCACCACCCAAAAGGCTTGTGGCTTGGATGGGATAAAAGGGAAAGGGAGATTTGCTTCACTGACTGCTGCCTCCTGTCTCCCCTACCATGAGCTCTTTCTCCTCTTCCATTCCCCTTTGCCATGCTGCCATGCTTTGGAGCCAGCAAACAATAGACTGAAACATCTACAGACTGTGAGCTCAAATAGACTTTTCTTTCTGTAACTTAAGGGTGTCAAGTATTTCTTTCCAGCAACGAGAAAAGTAATTAAAAGAGACTTTGGAACCAGAGAAGTGGGGTCAGTATTGTGACGCTACCTGACCATGTGGTTCAGGACCCTTTGGAACTCGCTTGTGAGAAGTTTGGAAAGGTTTGGAGATGCTGACTGAAGCAGCAGCTCTGGAATAAAAACTTGATGGGAGATTCTGGTCAGAGTCCAGAGGACCAGAATGCTGACAGAACGTATCTAGTAAAGACCAGGCTCAGGAGTTTTCAGTTAAGAACAAGGATTACATTGACTGTTGGACTCCAGGCCATGTGTGTTATGTTTTGACAGAAAACTTGTCTGCATTTTGCTATGTCCAGGGACATAACAGGAGACAGATCAAGGACGGCAGGCTAATTAATCTTGTGGTAAACACTTCAAGGCAGTCTAAAGCTGAGGTGGTGATGTGGCTATTTTGGGGGCCTTTTGCCAGCTCTACTTTGGGAATGCAGAGTATACGGTCTAGCAGAATGATTTAAGAAGTTTGAATTTGAACAGAAAGGAAGCTTAGGTAAAGTTATGGCCTACAAAGATGAAGCAGAGGAGAACTTGGTTGCTGAAAAGGAACAAGACAATAGAAAAGATAGCCTGAAAGCATCACAAAAACTAGCAGGACTTCTACCTTTTACTCAAAATTGCAAAGGTAAAAAGACTTTGCTCTGAGAAGACAGCTCCAGAGCACAACGTTCCAGAATGGCAGCAACCTAGAGAATTTGTTCCTCAGGGTTTGGTTCGTAGTGTTCAGCAATCCAGGCACTTGACCCCTACAGCCAAGAGAGAAGGAAGCCTGGCTATTGCTTAATTAGATGAAATGAAATGAAATGAAATGAAATCCTTACTTTTAGTAATTTACAATGTTTTAGAAAAAATTTTCCTAGTCAATTTCCTAATTTTTCCGTATATATAGAAGTATCACTTTATATAACAAAGAAATAATAAAAGTTAAAACATTCCATTTAAGCATGATTTCCTTTCCGAAGGCTTGCCTCCTTTAAACCTAACAGAAGTAAAAGTCCAAGACTAATGACCTTTAGGTTCAACTCCTCTAAAGCTCCAGGAAAACCACCTATGGTCAGGGTTGAATGAAAATTCTGACCAGCTGCAAAATTTAGACCCAAATTCTCTGACCAGTTCTCTGACCAATGAGAGTTGGAAGATGTGCAATACAGATAAGATTATCGGCTTGTTGAATAAGTGAGAACTTATAGCTGGCAATGGGTCAAGGTCATAGAAGTCTGTAATAAGGATACGTGTACCTTCATTCCTACAGTTTGAATTTTCTAAAGTGTAAAACTCATGACATTTTATTTTAGAAATTAAAAAATTACAAAAAAGTTATAAAAAGAGTATAATGATCACTCATCTATCCCTTACTCTGTTGTTAATATTTTGTCATATTTGTTTCATTCTAACTCTTCTCTCCTGTCTTCTTCATTTTTCTATACCTCTCCCTTTGCTGTCTCCCCTGAACTATATATCTATAGTTATACATGTATCTATAGCTATACATCTATCTATCTATCTATCTATTATCTATCTATCATCTTACACACACACTTTGGCTGAAATATTTGAAAATTAAATTATTTGCAGGGATATTTAACCTACACCATTATCTAATAAATTGAAGTGTTTTAATACTTCATCCTTAAGTACTTCACCACACTTACATATTTTAACATCAAAGACAATGTAGATATACAATACCTAATCCAAAAACCTGAAATCTGAAATGCTTCAAACTTCCAGATTCTTTGAGTATCAACAGGATGCTTTAAAAGTTTTAGACTTTCAATTAGAAATATTCAATGAATAAAGTTTATATAAATATCCCCATAGTAAATAAAATCTGAAAGGTACAATAGATATTGTGAAAGGGAAGGAAACTGCTCAATAGGAAAGAACAACTGGGATGAGGGAAAAGAGAAAAGAAAGAAGGAAAAGAAAATAATACATGTATATAGACACAAGATAGCTAAGATAATTGTACTACTAATTTTTATTAGTTTATTTTTTATTTTTTGTACCGGGTATCGAACTCGGGACCTTGCGCTTGCCAGGTAGGCATTTGTGCCATTGAGCTATATCCCTGGCCTCTCTATTAGTTTATTGAAAGGAACAGTTAATGTTTAATTGTTTGCTCAATCTTGAATCCCTATATCTGGTAATCTGAGCAACTACTTTGAAGATAATAATAAGTAATAGAGCAACCATTGTTGATTTCCTATCATCTTGTTTTGAAATTCTATATCATTTTTACAGTTTTTGTGTTGTTTTGTTTTTGTCTTTGTTATTTTTTGTTCTTTTCTCTTTAAAATAAAAAAATGAGGACATGTTAATTGTAGGTAGAATTGGTCCAAAATAACTCAAATTATTTCCTTCTCTTTTTTTGTCAGGTGTGCATGATTTAATTTGCAATTGTTAATTAAGTATAAGTATAATGTAACTCTTTGGTAAACATAAATGTGGTTGTGCTCCTGTAATGGCAATCTACCTACAACTAATATCAGCAAGAAAAAGGGAGCCTTCACTCAGGGCTGATTAGGCAGCTACTTTACAAGAGGGAAGCTGGTTCAGTTGTTAAAATTCTGCAGTTCTTTATTACTGATTGGTAAGTAGTTGCTACCTAAGCCTGTTGGGGTACCTGGCATTTTTAACACATCCTACTATACTTTTATAGTTACATAGTGCTATTCTAGCACTATGGACAGCTAGTGTCTACTTGATTATTAATATTTCAAATACAACCCTGTCTCCACCTACATCTCTTTATCTATTCCTAGGCACTGCTGATCATTGGCTGCCATCATTATTCCAGCACTTTCATTTTACATTTGTAAAGATAGCTAAATTTATAAATTTATAAAGTCCAAGTCAGTCATCCTTTGTCTGCCCAAATGTATAGTATATGTTTCAGAGACATGAGCATAAGGGAAATCATCTTACAAAACAAAGAATTTTACCACAGGTCTTATTTTAGAATCTAAATCAGATATAGGTAAGATTCTATCTGGCAGGGATTTTGTTCTTTATCCTGATCAATCCCAAAATTACTTCATCTTCTTACTGCCTGATGGATCCTCTAACTCATTTAAAGCATATCATCTTTCCTACCTCCCAAGTAAAACAGAAAGATAATTCCTGATGCTAACATGAACAGGAATCCTAAATAAAGAACAAGAATCCTAAATAAAAGGTATAGCACTTTCAAAATACATTTAATGTCTAAAATGTTATCTGCCATACAAAATGTCAGTATTTAAAGTGTCAGAGGGACTTATTATAAAAGAAATTCATTTTTATATCAAGGAATATAAAATAATTCATTAAGTAGCAGACAAAAGTTCAGAAGATGTACCTACATTACAGAAAAATCAAGAAAAAGTATAAATTTATGTATTAGTTTTTCAGTGGTGAGACCAAATACCTCACACAATTTAAAGGAGGAAAGGTTTATTTTTGCTTAGTTCCAGAAGATTTATTCCATCATTGGCTGCCTCTAAGGCAGGAACATCATGGCAGATGATCATGGTGGAGCAAAGATTCTTAGTTCATAATGGCTGGGAAATACAGCAGGAGAATAGCAACAGAGAGGAAGGTGCCAAGGACCAAATACAGACCCCAGTATCGCATCTCTGTGACCCACCAGAAACACCAAGAAGTGTGTTTTACTAATCTCCCAGGCAGCACCCAAGCCAATCAAGTTGACAATTATGCTTAACTGTCACAAGAAACAAAACCACACCAAAAAAACAACAAAAATGTACAATCAATGTATAATGTACCAAAATGTATAGTCAATAGCTGGGCATGGTGGCACATGCCTGTAATCCCAGCACTCAGGAGGCTGAGGCAGGAGAATTGTTGTGAGTTCGAGACCAGCCTGGGTTACAAAGTGAGCTCAAGGCCAGCCTGAACTGCATAGTGAGACCCTGTCTCTAAAAAAGACAGACAAACAAACAAACAAACAAAAACCCCAAAATGTATAGTCAATAGTGATTATAATAACTTAGAGAATAAAAATTCCATGACTATCTAAAATAATTCTTCTAGGAACTAGATTGCCACCAGCACATATAGTAGTTATAACCCCAAGTTATTACATGTTATTATTATTATTATTATTGCTGCTTTACTTAGAATGAGTTTTATATGTAGACATTTTTCTGTTCTTAGAACAATGCTCTAAGCTAAAGACATTAGAAAGAGTTGAAAATTTCTAAATAACCCAATATAAAAGTAATGCACCCATTACACATATAAGCTAATAAAATCTTAAAATAGTACAAGATATATTGATTTTATGTAACTTACTATAGAATATACAAAAAAAAAAAAAAAATACCCATACCTGCATAGGTCCAGGAATGCAAGACAAAACTCTTTCTATGTTTTCAGAGGTAACATCAACATCATTGACAGCAACAAGCACATCACCTAAAAACAAAATAACAATAAACGATAGTGGTGTGGCTATCCAAAAACCAAGGAGATCTAGAACTCAAACATTAAAAAGTACTTATTCTGAGCTCCTCAAAATACAATGGTAAATGTGTACAGATATTCAGGAACTTGTCCAAGGTTATACAGCATATCTCACCTCTACTCTTCTTAATCTATAATACTTCCCAACACTGCAGTATGACTAAATATAACCTAGAGATGAATATTCCCATTCTAAATAAAACTGGAAAAGTTATGTAAACCTAAAGGACAAGTGGAAAATTTTTAGAATAAATCAAATATTGCACTTAACCAAATTGAATCTAACCACTTAGATCCACAGTAAAAAAATTTCAGCTGAAGTTTTAATTAAAACCGTGTGGTACAGCATAACTCAATATGCTGTGGTATTCACTGCTATTACTGATTTGTGTCTACACACAGTTCTTGGCTTTAAAGCATCCAACCATATTGAACTACAGAGCATGTTTCAGTAAAAATTTCCATTTCCACTGCTTTTTAAAAAATGCTTATGTTTACCAGGTTTAGTAATAAAATAAAGATCCCTGTTAGAATAAAAATTCACTTTCAGAACCTAATTAAAAGTAATATCAAAATACCAGCAAGCTGTGTTAATAGAACTACAGACATATCTAAGTTATTTTTTCATCACTCTAAGATATATCATTAGGGAGTCAATTCACATGCATTCATTCATCCAACAGATATTTATCAAGCATCTACTGTGGGTCAGGCACTGGTTAAGCACTAAAGATAGAAAACAAGCAAAATCTCTACCTTCATGAAGTTTAATGTTCTTTGGGGAAGATGAGTAATAACCATGCATGTAGGTAAAACAATGTGATAGATAATTCTCCATGGTTCTCTCAAGTTTCTTTTCATCTTACAAGCCATAATAGTGAGTCTTTGTTACAGCATATTTTTTCAAGACTATTTGTATGCCAAATAGCTTTGGATGACAGAGGTGGTATCTCTCTCCAGAGCAAAGGTCAAGTTTGGTCAATATACGGAGTTATAAGGACAATGTCTTGCTCAATATCCTATTATTCATTGTTCTTTATAAAAGACTGATATTCCCTACATTCACACTTCCTTTTCTTTAAGGCAAACTACTATTAGGCTTCATCTGGCCCTCTTTGGAGTTGGGGAACAGATGGAAATACTGATACTTTAGGTACTGCTGTTCTTCTCCTGCTCCCTTTGCATCCTTGATAGGGTAGGCAGAGTTAGCAGGAGGAGTTTCTTTTATTATGTTACTCTTTTTTAAATTTTATTTTAAAAAAGAGTAGTAAATGAGAAAAAAAAAAAAAAGAAAAACAATAGCAGCATACCAGCATCACAAACATAAATGAACCACAGCAAGGACATTTAAAGTGACACAGGATTTCAAGACAAAATGATACGAATTAACAGTGGTTGTTATATTACATATTATTATCTTCAACTATGTTGCTAAGATTACCAGATAAAGCATGCAAAACTGGTCAGAGCATAAAAAATTGTAAGCATTAACTGTTCATTTCAATATACCATCAGACATCAGCAGTACAGTTATCCCAGCTATTCATATATATATATAGTCTTCCTTATTTCTTTTTTTTTCTTGCCCTCATCCTAGTCATTACTTCCTTTGAGCAATTTCTTTCCCTTTCCTATTGTATGTTTTGGGTTTTATTTATTCTTTCAGGTTCCTACACCAGGGAAACAATATGATGTTTACACATGTGGTTCTGATTTATTTCACTTGAGTATGGTCTGTAGTTGCATCCATTTACCTACAAAAGCCTTGAGTTTATCTTTTTTATAGCAGAGTAATACTCCATTGTATAAAAATACCACATCTTTTTTATCCATTCCTCAGTTGATGAGCATTTGGGTTGTTTCCAAGATTTAGCTATAAGAAATTGTGCAAGCAGGAGGAGTTTTTTAAGCTATCCTGTGAATGCTTACAAAAGCTGCAGATGCTCAGAGTTCTATCTAGTTGAGAGTTCTAAGTGGGCACTGAGTCCTTACAGTGGTCAATTAGTACAGTGCTTTGAGCAATTTTTCCTAAAAGTGAAAGCTTGCAGACTAAAATAAATTTCCAACTTCATTTCCATTTGGAAAAAATAAAAGCAACATGCTTCTAATTCCTCTTAAGAAATTAAACAAGAGTACTGTGCCAAACTGCTTATAGCTGTTTTGATTCTAAAAAGAAATGATGAATCTACCAAAACTTTTGGACCATTCTTTTTTTTTTTTTTTTTTTGACCATTCTTATGTTGGGTTTAGTTTTCTACAGGTTATATCATCCTTGGAGCAACTAAACAGTGAAACTATTTTAAATTTGTTAAACTAAACTCCATCGGATAATGTCCCAGATGACTTCTTCCTCTCAACCTTATGGAATACATTTTGGTTGTTGAGGGCTGTGGGGAGCATCACCTGAAAGCATCTTGTCTAAGAAAAGTAGGGGTCATGTATCATCACAAAAATATAGGAAAATTAATTTCAAAAGAGAATACAGTACACCTAATATTTAAAATGTTTAGAGTGTGGTACTTTTCTGTAAAAGAAGTGTGAGAACCACTTCTGATTCTCTTAGGTACTTGTTTTCCTCTAAGTTTCCTAAACATGTCCATGAAGTGACTTCAGACAAGCGTCCTGGATATCACATAACCGCAGCGGGTACCTGTACTCCAGGAAAGCTCTTCCTCAATCAATACGTGGGAGTCACAAGTATGCTCTGTCCCATTTCAACAGCTAAGCACAAATGCACTGGGGTTGATAGGTAAAAATAGCAAGAACATTTTATCAAAAGATGCATTTAAGAATCAAATAAATTTAGTGCCAGGTGTGGTGATGCGCACCTCTAATCTCAGCACTTATAGTATTGTCTGGTCTTGATGAATCGAAGTTAATTTTAATGTAAATATTAAATATTTTAATGTATAATTAAATATTTTGATTAGTGGTATTTAATAAATGTTTATGAAGTCTAAAAGATACTTTCCCATATCATCTTACAGAAATTTGATTCTTTTATCTTTCATATTTAGATGTACACTTTAATAGAAATTGACTTTTATTTATAGTATGAAATGAGGGTCAAATCTCTTCTTTTTTACCTATATGGATACTTTTTTGAGACTTTACACTTTATATATATTGGTTGCTTACCTATAAGCTTTCTGTTGTGAGGAGGAATCATAGATACTGTACATATATGCATTTGCTTGAAGGAAAATATTAATATAGTGCTTGGTGCATGGTAGGCATTCAATATATTTGTTCAATGAATGAATGACATTTATTTGGATCATTATTTGACATTTATAGCTGATGCCATATTATAACATTTAGAGAAAACTATAGGCCTCTTTTTGCCTCTTCTTCATGTTTGGTGAGAAGGTATACTAACAAAGGTCAAAGAAAATTAGAATCCTTAAAAGATAAGCAATAGGAAGCTCTAGTCTGGTAGAAACTCTATTCTTCCCTATGGTCCATTCTCTTTTCTCCACACTAGGTTCAAGAAAAAATGGTAAAAAGAACTGTGGAGATTTATCTATACCCAATCCAAATAAGTATTCAGAGCAAAAGCCCCAGACAAGAATGAGGATGCATTATCCCAATGTTTCCAAAATTATTGTTCTGCAAACAACCAGGCAAGATCTTGTAAGTAGGAATCCTGGCCTTTTATAGAACTGAAAGAACAAACTTAGAGAGTCTAGTTCAGTCCCATCACTTTACAAGAAAGAAACATCAAGACCTAACAGAATGCAGGTATGCTCCTATTCCAGTTATCCGCTGCTAGATAATAAACCATCCCAACAATTCAGTGGCTTAAAACAACAATTATGTATTATCTCTCCTGGATGTGGGCTCAAGCAAAGGTTCTTCATGTAGTTATAACTAGATGGTGATCGGGGCTGGATCCCTCTCAAAGGTTTTTTCTGGTGGCTGCAGCCTTAGCTAGGCTATCAGCCACTAATCATGGCCTCTCCATAAAGCCTGGCCTTCCTCACGGAATGGTGTATGGGTTCCAAGACAAGCGTCCTCAAAATAACCAGAAGTGCCTGTTCCCACTTAAGTCACACAACATACTTAACCTGTCGTCACAGGCCCACCTGATTCAAGGACCTAGACATAACTTCCTATGGAAGGAGGATCAGCTGTGGGAGAACAGATGCGAATTGAGGCCTAACCGGCCTCCTCTGTGAGCACAAGGGAGAAAGGCAGCAGGTTGTACTCCTTTGGAAACACAGAGATGATGACACTGCCAGTTCTAGGGAAAAGGTAAGACAGCTGAGATTATGCTGTTTACCTAGACATGAACTAATGGAGGATGGAAGGCAGCTAAATCTTGTGTTACTTTAACTGCTTGTACTCGGGACTAGGGGTTTAGCGCAGTGGCACAGTGCCTGCCTGGCAAGTGCAAGGTTGTGAGTTTGATTTTCGGTACCGTAAAAAAAAAAAAAAAAATAACTGCTCGTACTCAGGTTTGAGTGAATAAAAGCAGGATGAGCCAGGTGCTTGGGACTTCTCTGTCCACTAGAGGCAAGAGCCTCCTAGCTGCCCTCATGTTAAACTGATTCTATGGCTGTTTGTCTTTCATCTTCTTTTGCTCCTCAGTGACAAACCAACAGGACTAAGTCCCTACAAGTGCCACCTGAGTGGGGAAAGACCTGGGTGAGCTGGTTCCCCATGGGTGTAGGGACCTGGGACTGGCATAGACTGGTTTGCTACAATCAACATCACGTTGTCAGATGAAGTGGAAGTCTTGCTGTGACCATTTGGGAACACACATTTTGTACAGGTTCCCTTTCTACATGTTTCCTTAGGACCCTCTTTATAATGCTGTACTGTGACATTTATCACGCTGTGTGGGACTGTACTCTTCTGTATCTCTTCTATAAAAAGAGCTCCACACTGTTCACATTAGAATAATTTCTATAATCCTGGTGTCTGGTAGTATTCAAAACATTTTTAAATTTATTGAATCAATGAACAAGTGAAATTCAGACTTTAAATCAGACATACTTAGAAATATTTCTGAATATTTCTATAAAAATCCCTTAATCTCTTTCTACCCCTTCTTTCTTTTTCCTCTCTCCCTTTCTCCCGCTCTCTCTTTGCTGGAGCAAGAGACTTTTAGGGTATTTTTAGGTATTTTGGCCAAGAAAAGAAGTGGGAAATAAACTTGACTGCTCAACCTATTTATCTAACTCTCTTAACTGAGGCAACTTAAAAAATTGTCAGCATTAAGGACCATTATAGCTTTTATATTTCACTAATAATATATTCTCAAATTTAATTAATTTATCTTTAATTAATTAGGTTCCTACCAGAAATTTGAGAACTTAACTGAATTCAGACATCATGTTTGTGAGCATCAAATATTATATCCAACATTATATCCAAATTTATCAGCAACACAAAATGCTTATCTTAACATACATTCAGAATAACTTGTAAAGTTTTCCTCAAAATTGGTAGGATTATTTTATGACAAGCAGCCTTAAAAGGAAACTTATGTGTAACACCACTGTAGTTCATTATGCCAAATGAAACAGTTTAAATCCAGTCCAGGAACTTAGTGTACTCAAGTGCAAACATACAATTTAAAAGTATTTTTATTCATAAATTATATATTTTTGTAACATCTTACTGGATATAGTTATTCAAGCCTAAATTATCACTGTACAGTCTTTTTTCCTGTCAGCAAATATAACCAAGATGAAATTCATATAATTCAAAATTTGAAAATTAAGTTAAGCTATCCCCTAGCCTGAAGGCTCAATGTATTCAGTACACTAAAGTACTCTTTTTTCTTGTCTTTTTGAGACGGTCTCACTATGCAGTTCAGGCTGGCCTTGAGCTCACTTTGTAGCCCAGGCTGGTCTTGAACTTGCAATGATCCTCCTGCCTCAGCCTCCTGAGTGCTGAGATAACAGACGTGTATTGATAGGAAAGCACTCAAAGGTAAAGGGCAACTGGGATGTGGGAAAAGAGAAGGGAAAGAAGGAGAAATTTTGTATGTATGTATATGCAGGATAGTTAACATGGCTGCTCTACTGTCTTGTATTTCTTTGCTGAAAGAAACTGTCAATGAGTCCTTGGTTGATCAGCATTGCATGTCTATATCTGTTTTCACGAGAAACCACTTTGAAGATATCAGTATGTAATACAACAAGCATTGTTAATTCCCTACCACTTTGTTTGTAACTCCGTACTGTCTGTACTGTTCTTTTGCTATTTTGTAAAATGTTGTCTGTCTGTTAATGTTTTCCTCCTTTTTTTAAAAAAAAAAAAACAACAGGCGTGTGCCACCATGCCTGGCATTAAAGTGCTTATTTTAAGAAACTTGTGCCCTATGGAACACAAGTTACAACTTCACTATCGTATCAAATATCATTAATTAGTCCTTAATTTATGGAGACTGTATAGAGTTGTTTATTATCCTCTCACAAGGCATCATCATTAATCTGTGTCTCTGCAAACAAGGACGGGTGCACATCAGCAACACTTACCAATTAGTATCTGACCACTTTTCATAGCAGATCCTCCTGGCAACAGGCCATGGACCACAAGCCTCTCTCCATTGCCCTGTTTTCCCGTTCTTCTCCAGCTCCACTTGGTCTGATGGATAATCCCAACCAGCACTTCCAGAAGTTTGAGCTGCTCTTTGGCTTTAGTGACAGTTAGTTTTTTGGGGTTTACATAAACGGTCACATCTTTGTACTGTTGTTGGACAATGACCCCTGTTTTCTGATTGGACTGATGTTTTAAAATGGATACCGGTCCATTATCATTGCTATTTTTTTTATTGTAGCGCTTGGGTAAAAGTCTTTTACTTTTTAAAATTTTGGTAAACCGCTTGAGTTTGGGTTCATACTTCTTTCTTTCTTTGTAATCATCCTCTTCAATGATAATCTCATTTTCACTGAATCTGACATGGTTCACTGTTGGTGGTATTTCAGGAAGGCGGCTTTCTTCTTCATCCTCACTTAATTCCAAATAAAACAGCTCTCCATTTTTCTGTACACTATCTAGCCATTCAGGTTCTAGGTCACTATAGAAAGAAAGAGAAGATGATCTGAATACCAGTTTAATGTAAGAAAACAGTTTCATCTTCCCATCAGGGAGTGACAGTGGGGGTAAGCAGAAGGTCAAAGTTCTTTTATTATTTCAAAATTTCCCTGAGCCTTTATGGTTCATTGTAATCATCAACACTATTTCCTGTAGACTGCTTTTTGTAGAGTCTTAAAGAAGCGGGGCTGGGGCGAAGGCATAGTGATAAAGAAGAAAACAGGAGGAGGAGGAGCACAGAGAGAAACACCTTTTCTATAATCTATGGGCTTTTTAAATAAAATTAATTCAGCCATTGTGTGGTTATTCAGCATCAATTTTAATGGATGATAAGTTACATTAACTCTTGATTGTGCAGTGACACTCACAGAAACAAGCCATTTGGAAACTGTATGTGAAAACATCTTGTTTGCATAAAAATTGCTCAGCATGGTTGTCAGGTTCAAATGAAAGCTACAGTTGACCTGCATTTATAGACTTTATTTATATAAAAACTTTCAAGAAAGAAACATTCATCTCACCATGAACTAAAAATCATTGCTGAAAACAGCCAGTTTATATTCGTAGCTAATAACGATCACTTCTACAAGCTATAATTTGTGTAAACCTCCTTTTTATGAGTAATTGTAGTAAGAAAAGTAAAGCATGTATTACATAATTCACTATGTGGTTATAAAAAAACTTTTAACAGGGAAATAGGTCAGTGGAAAAATTGAAATTATTCCTATTAAATTTATTGAAACAGTATTAAGAACAAATATACTTATCTTACAGTAGTAAACCTAATCACAAACTATCCTGTTCAATGTTACAAAGTGCTTGTCTTTCAAACCTGTGTTCTTTAAAACAAAACTGGCTTCAGTGGAGAAACTACCATGTGGGGACAGTCTTTTCAGTAAGATAAGCTATAATATCCTGGAATTAAAGGGTATAATTTGTGTGCTAATCATTCAATTAGGTAGAAAGCTTTTCTGTTTGCTACAATGTTTACTAGCAACTCTGGTGCTTTTAACTTAAAAATGTTATCAAATGCCTACTTTTATTTATTTTTTTGAGACAAGATCTCACTCATTATATAGTTCAGGCTATCCTTGAACTCACAATGTAGCCCAGGCAGGCCTTGAACTCACACCAATTCTCCTGCCTCAGCCTTTGGAGCAGTAAGATTATAGACTTGTGCCACCATGCCCGACTGCCTATTTCTAAAAATCTTTGAAAAGTAGCCCCCCAAATGTCCTACTCTATACTCTATACTATACTACCCTAGCCTGTGTCTGTTCATTAATATGGAATTTTCAAGTAAATATGAGGTTACTTTTTTAAAAAAAGACACAATTAGGTTCTATCCCAAAACTAATGCTTCTTTGGTCCTCACTGGTTCTCAGTGTGTGGCATAACTTTAGGTGCTCATCACTGCCCACACATCAGTTGTTTCACCCACATGTATCCACACTCACAGGAATCAGTATTTGGTAACTGCAGTACTTCTCTGAAGAGCCTAAAAAATGTGTACCCATCATAAATGTTTAATCACAAATTAAACATTTAATCACAGATTAACTGGTGGCATTTAAATACCATGATTATACCTTAATAAATTATGAAGACATATATATATATATATATATATATGTGTGTGTGTGTGTGTGTGTGTGTGTGTGTATACACATTTAAATAATGAATGAAGTTTGTCAGCTTTATAATCTTACCTTTTTCATTTGGTACATTACTTATAGTAGGTGCATGACCTTGAGGAAATATGTTTTCCACTTGTTAAACATAAAAAGGACTCCCTGTAATCTGAATGTGAAATCACTTTTTGTTTATGATTCAAAGATCCACACAGGCAGAGGGTGGGAGGGCCAGTTTTTAATTGTGGAACAATTAAACAGCACCAGGCATTAATGATAAGTACCAGAATTAAATGCTGAAAACATCAGTTTCTGCCTTTGCTTAGGGAGGAAGAAAAACTGAGAAAGAATACAATCAATACACCTGGTAAGTTCACAACTGAGACATACGGCAGTACCCTAATTTAGCTTAGTGGGAGCTTGAGAGTGAGGCTGGGGTAAAGGAGGTTTTAAAGCAAGTTGGGGAGGGTTGAATAAAAAAAGCCCAAACAAAAGTAATGAATAAGCAAAGGATGGCCAACCCAGCATGGTGGTGTGGGCTTGTAATTCCAGCATTCCTGAAGGCTGAGGCAGGAGGGTCCCAAGTTCAAGCCCAGCCTGGGCAACTGAGCAGCTTGGTGAGATCAATGTTATGGTTTGTGTCTCAGTGTCTCCCAAAGCCTCATGTAGTCCTGGGACAGGCTTCTAGAGTTTATGATTGACTCATAGTCCAATGTTTGGATTGTGGGTGTGAGTGCTACACTTATCCTGGGGTGGACAGTTTGCATAAAATGTAAGGGAGGGAAAGAGGCTGTTTGGGAATACCCATTAAAGTGTTATTTTAGGAGTCAAAGCAAAAATGATGACTAAGGTAATAGAAAAGATAAAAAGTAGGGAAAACATTTGAGAAATGTTAGCAAATCACTGGAACTGTGAGACTAAGTGAGAAGAGAAGGTATTAATATGGACTAGATGTCTAGCTGGTAACTGTATTTTCCTGCATCCCTTACTGCATACACATGCACAGACACATTTTACATAAATGGTACATCATTACCACGCAGTCATTTTCCCTTCCTGCCTCTCACTGACAATGTTAAACATCCATGTTTTTATAATATAAAAAGATATGTAATCACTTTTTAATTTCTCACTTAATCATACAGTTTATCTCAGTTTATCATGCCACCATAAGGGTGGCATGATCTTCCATATCAAGGATATAGCACACATCTGGTCATTTACCTACTGATAAGCTTGGTGTTCAGTTTTTATTTTTGTTTTTCCCCAAACAAAGTTATAGTAACAATCCTTACATGCAGTGTATACATAGGATTTTACCCAAAAGGCTATGCCAATTCATATTTTTCACCCACAATGTTTAAGAGCTATTTTCTTAATTCTAAATTTTAAAAATATTTCACTTTAAGAAGTAGAAGAAATGTTGGACATAGTGGTACAGGCCTATAATCCCACCATTCTGGAGGCTGAGGCAAGAGGATCGCTGTGAGCCTGAGGCCAGTCTGGGCTACATAATGAGTTCAAGGCCAGCCTGAACTACATAGCAAGACTGTCTCAAAAAACCAAAAAAAAATTTTTTTAGGGATAGAAATAAAAGCAGAGAGGGAGAAAGAGGGAGGGAGGAGGGAGAGGGAAGGAAAAGAGAGAGAGAGAAAGGGAGGGAAACTGGAGAGGAGGGGAAGAGAAGAGGGAAAAAAGACAGGGAAACGTACATAAGAGACCCCAGACAGGGAGGCAACAGGTAGATAAAAAGAAAATGAACTGAGAAATCAGAGAGCTGGATTCAGATACTATTCTGTTTTCATTTTAAACTTCCTAGAATTGATTCCCTCATTTATTGACTCTAGGTGTTAGTTTCCTTATTACTGAAAACAGTAATATGTACCTCACAGGGTTGTTAACAACAGAAAATAAAATAGTGTTGTGCCTGCAACAGTAAGCATCAAATAAATGTCAGTTCCCTTCCCCTTGCTCCCCATAGGAAAAATCTGTAGAGAAACACCTTCATGAGAAACCGCTTGCATGCTTCTGTGCTCTTCTAACTCTTGGCACGCAATAAAGCTGTACTTAATGACCTCAGTTTACCAGGTTTTGTGCTAGATGCTGATGATAGAAAAAACCATACTTGAGAGTGTTTAAGGTCTCTACAATTCAGTATTCCTAGTTTCTTATCCCCACTCCAGAAGATTCCTTACTAGGAGGTAAATTTCAAAAGCATCACTGATTAGTGTAAGAAAGTTTAACAGGGATCAAGGACTGTCTTCCAAACAGTCTTCTAGTTCTACTGGAAGGAAGTGGATGTATTAAAAACAAGAAAGACCCACATTTTCATTGTCATTATTCATTTATAATAAAATAAAGAAATTAATAAATGCAAATAACCCCCACTCCAGGAGATGGAATTTCATCCTTCCTCCCCTTAGTGACTGGCTTGCACGGGAGTATAAAAGTGGAAAACAGTAACTTTTACAGTGAAGACACCCGTTACACCAAGTGACAGGTGAGTTCTAGAACAGAAAAAGTGCAGTAATGGAAGAGTGGTGAAATCAAGTAAGTTGGGAGTTCAGTTAATAGTGCTGACCAATGTTAATTTCTTAGTTTTGACAAATGAGCAATAGTCATGTAAGAAATTAACATCAGGAAACTGGGTAAAGTGTTTACAGGAAAGCTATACTGTACTATCTTTGTAAGTCTATGTAGATCTAAACTTACTCCAAAATTTAAAAATTATTTAAAGATAAAAGGAATTAGGGGGCTGGGGATTTAGCTCAGCGGCAAAAGCGCCTGCCTGGCATGCGCAAGGTCGTGAGTTTGGTTCCTGGTACCGGAGAAAAACAAAACAAAACAAAACAAAACAAACAACAACAAAAAAAAAAATAAAAGGAATTAGGTCCAGCAATTTTAATTTGTATTTTTACAATGTACATGTCACATTAATCAGCACTATATAAATATCCTTTCAACATTATTTTAGCCCTTACGTTGCAAATTGCAAAGTTTTCATTGGGTAAATTTCTTTCAATCCTTTTTTCAATTAAAGTCTTATTTTATTTTGCTTTGCTCTAAAAAAAAACTGTTTGCAAAGTTTGAATGCAATTTAATTGGCTTCAATGCCCTAAATGACACGGCCAACATGAACAAACCTTCTTCCCAAAGAAAGAAAATGTGCAAATAAGCAAGTTCATTGACATAAGTTGTAACATAAACGTATTAAAGAAAACAAACTTTAGGTAGTGCTAGTACAGCCCTCGGGAGGCGGAGGCAGGAGGATCTTTGCGAGTTCGAGGCCAGCCTGGGCTACAAAGGGATCTCCAGGTCAGCCTGAAATGCATAGTGAGACCCTGTCTCAAAA